AATGGCCAGGTACTGGCCTTGGTGATGAACCCAGTCTCCATGCCCTCTCTCCTCTCCCCTCCCCTGAGTTTGGGGCAGGTGCTGAAAGCTCCAAGTTTCTATTGAAGACTTGGTCTTTCTAACGACCCCCCATCCTCAAGCTACCCAGGGGCCCCCAAGAGTGGCCTCGTTAGAACAAAAGATGTGTCTATCACGCTATCACAAAATCTGTGTAAGGAACCGGGTCTCTGATACCACAAGGGCCCAGTTAGTCTGTAGCTCAGCATTTTAATATCCTTCTGCTGCAATCCCAGGGGAACAGGGCAGAAAGCCTCGCTCTTCAGAACCCAGAAGCAGTGAGAACCTGTCTCATGCCAGCTCTCCAGGGGTGATAAGGGGTGTGTGTGGTAACCCCACCGCAGTCCCTCGTGAGCCTCCCACCTTCCCATGTCTCAGGAGCATCATGGGACACCTGCCAAGGCCGAGGGTGGTGGCAAGTCCAAGCCTCTGACTTTATGGATACGTGACAGGTTTCCGGGAAGCCATCTCGAGCCGCTCCCTTACAATGGCATGAACTTTCCATAGTTATTCAAAATAAGCAATGGATACAAGATGTCCAGGAGGGTGCAGGTATGGGCCGAAGTTCTGTCCCCAACCCTCATTTCATGTGGAAGCCCCTAACCCCCAACATGATGGTATAGGGGGTTGGGGCCTTTGGGAGTAATTAGGTTTAAATGAGGTCAGGCAGGTGGGTTATGAGGAATCCCGTGATGGGATTAGTGGTTTGATAAGAATAGAGGACAAAGGTCTCTCGCTCGCTCTCTCTCCCTCCATCACCCTAGCCAGGTGGAGATACAACAGAATGCAGCTGTCTACAAGGCAGGGTTCTCAGCAGAACCATGATCTCAGACACTCCAGCCTCCAGAACTGTGAGAAGGAAGCTGCCTTTTTTTCTTTATTGATTTGAGAGAGAGAGAGAGAGAGACATTGATGAGAAAGAACATTGATTGGCCACCTCCTGCATGCCCCACACTGGGGATTGGGTCCGCAACCTGGGCATGTGCCCTACCAGGAATTGAACTGGTGACCTCTTGGTGCAGGGGTTGATGCTCAACCACTGAACCACACTGGCCAGGCAGAAGCAAGCTTCTTGTGTTCAAACTATCCAGTGTGCAGTATTTTGTTATAAAAGCCCAAGTTGACTGCCCTCACCCGAGTCCCTCAGTAGTTAGAGTATCAGGTTGCCAACCAAAGGGTTTGGGTTTGATTCTCAGTCAAGGGCACATACCTGGGTTGCAGGTTCGATCCCAGGCCTCCATCATGGCTGTGTGGGAGGCAACCAATCGATACTTCTCTCTCACATAAATGTTTTTCTCTCTCTCCCCCTCACTTCCACTCTATCTGAAAATTAATGGAAAAATATCCTCAGGTGAGTTTTAACCAAAAATAAAAAGTTTCTATTTTAAACACTTATTTAAGCAAAAGATCTGAGTCAATAAGAAAACCATTAACCCAGTGAATTACGGGTAGTTGAGACATTTAGCAGAAATCATGAAATTGCAACAAGACTCATTGCAGTTTGGAAAACACCAGTTTAGAGGTCATATATATGTGTCTCGGTGAGATTTTTGATACATTACATGCACTCAGTAAACCAGAGTTGATGTTATCTCTCTTTCTACCCTCGATTCAAACCTCTCACCAGTTATATTATTTTTTATGCTCCCCTTCCTCCGTGCACTGTCCTGCCAGACTTATTGAGACAGAGGAAGGGAAGGAGTTTATGAATCATAGTGTCATACCAGCCTGTCCGGGGGTCCTTCTTCAGTTTTTCCATTTGCAGAAGGAAGAAAAGCTGGAGTGGTTACAGCACCCCCCTGACTGCAGAGTAAGGGCACTTACCACTTTTCTCTGACCTCTCAGTTCCCTCCTCCACAGCCAGTTTCTGGACACATGTTGGTGCCCGTGATGGCAACATGTTCCTTTCATACCCATCTTCAAGAATGTGACTCACATGAGACCTTTCTCTGTCTCTGTCTCTGTCAAATTTCAGGCATCAAACAGGTGATCCCACAGATGCCTAAGACTCGAGCCTGTAGAATTCTCCAGAGGAGATAAGGGCACTTTGCTGGAAAATAGTGGAAGTCCTGGGCAGATGTTCTTGTTGCTGGACACTGTACACAGGCAGAACTAAGGCCTTGGGCCAGGTAGTCCTCACTAACTGTGGTGGTAGGCAGGGCTCGGTCACTACAGAAAACTCTCAGAACTCCATGGCAGTGCGGATGAGTCTACTGTGTGATGCAGGAAAAGGATACGTGAAAAGGGGAAATAGACCCGGCCACTGTGACTCGGTTGGCGTCATCCTGTGTGCTGAAAGGTTGCTGGATGAATTCCTGGTCAGGGCACTTGCCTGGGTTTTGGGCTACTTTGCCAGGAGGGGGTGTGCAGGAAGCAGCCAATCAATGTTTTGCTCTCTCATCAATGTTTCTCTGTCTCTCCTTCTAAAAATCAATTTAAAAAACAGGGTTGGAGGGAGGGATGGTTGGTGATGGAAGGAGACCCGGGGAGCTGTAAACATACAACACAACATACAGATGATACAGAATTATATATCTGACATCCATATAATTTTATTAACCAGTGTCACCCCAATACATTCAATAAAAAGTAAATAAAATGAGGATTGACATCCCAGGCAAAAGGATCCCCAGAGAGCAGCCGTGAGCCCCAAATTTCTCTCCATTTCATGGGCTGCATGGATGGGCTTTCTCGGAACAGAAGCCATCATCACCTTGTTGACAAAAATCCTCAGAACCAGACTCCCAGAGTGATTCCTAGGCTGGGGTTTTTTATTCTGTGACGGGCACGTTGGCATATCCATGCTACATTCCCAGCCCCAATGGCAGAATCCCCTGGGATGTCTCCCAGGACCCAAGTGCAAAGCATCACTTTCACGATTGCCAATAACCAATGCTGACTAACCAATGCTGACAAGCCGATGCAAACCGCCCCACAGCTCCTCTCGGACCCAGGGTTACAAAGCAACACTGTTCACCAGTGTGATTCACTTTATGACCAGATGCTGACATCTTAGGGCGCAGGGTTACATCATCATCATGGCTCAGACCAGTGCCTGCTCACACCAGTCCTCGCAGCACAGTCCTAAAAGACCAGTTGTGCATGGGTACACACTGGTTTTATGAGACCACACTCTGCACTTAAAATCGTCTTTGACTCCTAGAAAATGTGTGTATAACTCACAGGCTTTCATTTAGCCAGTGGGTCCCGCTGAAATGAAATTATCAGAAGGTCTGAAATCATAAGCTTTTCTTTCTTTCTTTTTTTTTTAAAAAATAATTTTTCTTTATTGATTTTGGAGAAAGAGGAAAGGAGAGGGAGAGAGGTAGAAGTAGCAATGAGAGAGAACATCGATTGGCCGCCTCCTGCATACTCCCCATTGGAGATCGGGTCCACAACCTGGGCATGTGCCCTGACCGGGAATTGAACTGATGACCTCTTGGTGCATGGTTGACACTTAACCCCACCGAGCCACGCTAGCTGGGCACAAGCTTTTCTTCACTATCAGCGTACTGAGCCTTTTCACTGCTTTTAGTCTCTAGGTCAGAAAATATTTGTGCCTCTGCCACTTGAAAGTGTCAGTGTCAATTTACCTACATTTTGAACAATTTGCCAACTTCAGTATCCAGGTGATTTAGTGTGCTTTCTGCCAAATTGTGTTTGGTAAAACTCCTTTGGACCTCCTTACCTGGAGATAGGTAAACTGAGGCACCACAAGGCAGATTCCCTTGCTCAAAGACACAGAAGTGGGAGAGACAGGTGCAGGAACCCAGCTCTTTCTCAAAAGCCCATTCATTTTCTATTTCACGAAGTCATTTGAAGCGCCTCCGTCTCACTCCCTAGGGGTGATGTGTTTTCTTGGTCTCAGGCGTTGTTCTGTGGAAGGGTGCACAGAGGGGTGGAGTGAGTGTATTATCTACTGCTGTCGCAATATTACTAAAAACTTAGTGGCATAAGCAGTAGTCCCAAGGGTCAAGAAAATAGGCACAGCCTATCAGGATCACCATGTTGACCAGGGCTGGGTCTAATCTGAAAGCCAGACTGGAGAAGGATCCACTCTGAGCTGCAGTGTGATTCCCACAACTCGATACCCGGAGTTAGCACAGACCTCACAGGTTATGGTCTCAGTCCCCACAAGACTCTGTCACTTTGGACACCAGCTGCAAGCTCAGGTGTTCCCAGGCCACCTGCATTTCTGACCAACAGCTGAGAATTTTGCAGGTTCCCACCATCCCTTCTCAGATTCAGTAATTTCCTAGAGCCACTTAGAGAATTCAAGGAAGTGCTATACTTAGGATTACAAGTTTATTGTAAAGAATACAAATCAGGCCTTGGCCAGTTTGGCTCAGCAGTTAGAGTGTTGGCCTGCAGACCCAAGGGTCTTGGGTTTGATTCCCAGGTTGCAGGTCCGATCCCCAGTCCTGGTTGGGGTTTGGTCAGGAGGCGGCCAAAGGATGTGTGTGTCTCTCACATCAGAGTTTCTCTCTCTCTCCCTTTCACTGTATCTAAAATGTGAGTGGAAATATATCCGTGGGTGAGGATTATCCCAAAGAAAAAGAAAAGGATACAAATCAGTGCCAGCTAAATGAAGAGACACAGAGGGTGAGGTCTGGGAGGGTCCCAAAAGTGAAGCTTCCTATATCCTCAGGATGTATCTATCCACCCTCCAAGCACATGAGGTTGTGTCACCAATCAGGAAGCTTCCCTAGCCTTGGGTCCAGCATCTTTACTGGGGTGTCATCACACAGGTGTGGTTGGTTGAATTGTTGCCCACATGACTGAGTCTGTCTCTCACCTCCTTCTCTTCCCCAGAGGTCAGGCTGATGGCACCTGGCTCATGTCCCCAACCTTCTAATCACACGGTTGGTCTTCATGACATGACCACAACCTCCCATCCCGAGTCATCTTTTGTCATATTACTCTATGTAAACGATAACTCTCACTTCAAAAAAATTTTAATGTTTTAGAAGAAGGGATCAAAATTGGAGATTTAAGGGGAAGTATCCTCATTTGCGGAGTCGCGCAAGGGGCCTGTGCCCCATCGACCATCTCCCTGGAGGTTCTTCCTGGATCCAGGTCTTCTCCTGGCTATGTCTTAAGGGCTGAGTACACACAGGCTTCCAGAGGCTGCTTCACCCGGCTGGAAATACCCTCGCTCAGGGCTTTGGTGTCCAGCTCAGCGTACATCACTTCATAAGGTTCTCCAGCTCTTGACACCTGAGATCCTTTATCCTGAAGGTAAGCAAGGGGAAATAGAGGATCAAGTCTCCCAGGGAGGTGTATTCCACGGTGAGGATCGAGCAGTCATAACAGTGTGGTTGGCAGCTTTCCCTAGGACACCTACCCAGAGACTCCTACTCAAGCTTTTCTGAGGTCCCTCCCCTCTTTTATTTTACTTTTATCCTCACCAAGGATATGTTTCTGTTGATGTTTAGAGAGAGGGGGAGGGAGAGAGAGACATTGATGTGAGGGAAACATCGATCAGTTGCCTCCCATATGTGCCCTGACCAGGCATCAAACCTGCAACCCTTTGGTGTACAGGATGACACTCCAGTCAACTGGGCCACCTGGCCAGGGCAGGTGCCCTCTCCTCTTGAGGGTTATCTGGACCTAGTGTCTTAAATCTATGGAAGGAACACGGCAAAAACAATGCACTAAGAAAGATGGGATGTTGTGTCCAAGACAAGGTAATGAAGGACTGTGCCTTCTAACATGCCCACATCCCTACTATCTTCCCGCTCGATCACAATGACGAAGCCGGCAGCCAGGGCAGTCCTCTGGAGAGGCCCCTAAGGCCAGCGTGGTCACCAGCCAACAGCCATCAAGAAGTGAATCCTAGCCCTGGCCGGTTTGGCTCAGCGGTTAGAGTGTCGGCCTGTGCTCCTGAGAGACCCGGGTTTGGTTCCCGCTAAGGGCACGTACCTCGGTTGCAGTTTGTCCCCAGCCCTGGTTGGGTCATGTGGGTGGCAGCCACTCGATGTGTTCCTTTCACATCGATGTTTCTCTCTCTCTCTCTGTTCCTCTCTCTCCCTCCCACTCTACCTGAACAAAAAATGGAAAAATGTCCTCCGGTGAGGATAAAAAACAAACAAACAAAAAAAGAAGTGAATCCTAGCAACAACCACTGGGTGAATGTGGAAGCATATTCTCTCCGAGTGGAGCCCTGATCAGCCCTAACCAACACCTTCATCATAGTTCTGTGCGACCCCGAGTGGGAGACCCCGCTCAGCCACTGCAGATCCTCACTCACTGGACCAGTGTTGCTTTCAGCCACTGCATTTAGGGATAACTTGTTATGCAGCAGTTGATAATTTATATCAAGTTACTCAAATATGTGTCAGTAGGGAACACCCAGGGTAGGTAATTCCATCGGGACAGAAAGCAGATTAGTTACTACCAGGGTCCGGGGGAGGGGAGGAGGGAATGGGGTTGACTGCTAAAAGGGTGCGGGGTGATAAAAATGTCTAGAACGTTAGATAATGGTGATTGTGGTACAACATTGTGAACATACCAAATGTCACTGAATTGTACATGTTACGACGGTGAATTTTGTTATGCACATTTTGACACAATTTGTTGTTGTTAATCCTCACCTGAGGATATTTATTCCATTGATTTTTTTAAGAGAGAGTAAAGGGGTCTGGCCGGTGTGGCTCAGTGGTTGAGCATCAACCCATGCACCAAGAGCTCTCTGGTTCGATTCCCAGTCAGGACACATGCCCAGGTTATGGGCCGGATCCCTGTCGGGGGGCATGCAGGAGGCAGCCTATCGATGTTCTCTCTCATCGATGTTTCTATCTCTCTCTCCCTTTCCCTTTCTCTCTCTCTAAAATCAATAAAGAAAAATTTTTTTAAAAAGAGTGAAGGGAAGGAGGGGGAGAGAGAGAGACATTGATGTGAGAGAGACACGTTGATTGGTTGCCTCCCACATGTGCCCTGACCAGAGCCTGGGATGGAACCTACAACCCAGGTATGTACCCTTGACCAGGAATCAAACCTGCCTCCCTTCAGTGTGTGGGCCAATGCTCTAACCACTGAGCACACCAGCCAAGGCTTGACATAATTTTTTAGAACTTGAAGTATAAAGGGATAAAGTAAGGGTACTGTTAATATTGCTACCGATCCCTGATGCAGGATCTGTGTGGGTGTACAGTGTGTAGGTGCTTTACAGAGAGATCTTGCCATGTTTTCACCAAGAGGTGGGATGATTATCCTCATGGTCCAGATGAGGAAACTGAGGCTCAGGGTGAGAATGTCACTTGCCTGGGGTCCCAAGATAATAGCTTCAAGGTACTGAGTGTTTCTGTCACACCTGGCATCCTACTGACCTTTCTGTGGCTGTGAGCTCATTAAACCATTTGTTAATCTTATAAGGAAGTTCAGCCCAGTTAGGGAATGAGAAGTGTCATGGGATGGATGAAGGTCCTATGGCCAGAGAAGCACAGATGTGTTCAACCAGGTTCTTCTGAAATGTAGAGGAAGGGTTGGGGCCGATAAAAGCAGAGGCCTAGAGCATTGACAGAACTAAAGAGGGAGTGATGGAGATCCTGGACTGAGCTAGGGGCTGATGGGAAACTCACCAAGGCAGGAGAGTAGCTCTTCGTAGCTGGAGATGCATCTGGGAGGGAGAAGATTCTGCCATTGGTTCACCCCCAGACTACAGGGGTCAGGTCTACATACACACACACAGCTACATATGTATACTCACATATGATGCACATGAATACATGTGTGCATACAATATCCACATGCACTCGCATAAACACATATGTGCGCACACATGCATACCCACAGGCACACACATTGTGCTGAATGCGTATATGCATGTACATGTTCACATGCATAAGTACCTGCCTGCACATCTACCTGTGCAGACTCACCTGCACACAGCACCCATGTGTGCCCACACCACACACAGGGCTGTATCACATACTTATACACACATTTACACACAGACCACATGGACCCCACCACCACCACTTTCTTTCCCGATTGATTACCTGTCACCACGTCTTCAGCTTTCTTAGAAGAATGAGAACTAAGAGAGAGAAACTGTGAAACATTAGAGATCAAGGAAGTTGGAGGGATAATCAAGATCCTCGTGTGGGTGGAGGCGAGTTGCAAAGCAAGTTCACTCAAGTCTCTCCACTGACTCCCAGCTCAGACACCCCACCCGAAGGTCTCCGAGCCATCGTATGCTTAGGAAGGTCTTGGGAGCCAAGGAGAAGGAAGTGGTTGGGGACAGCATGGTCCATGAGGAAAGAATCCAAGGAGAGGACATTGATAGAAGTGGATGATGGTTATAAGAAGAGAGAACCTGGAGACAGACTTGGGGAGGTCGTGGAAGCTGGTTTGGGACACATGAAAGGCTAATGTAACAAAAATGATGAAATAGTCCAGGAAACGAGGGGAATGAGTGACGTGTTGGCTGATGGACGTCTCGGGGTGGCCTACCTTTTGGTCATCTTGCTAAGAGCTGCCCCTGGGATGAGAAAAGAAAAAGGTATGGATTAACCCTGTGGTATTAGCTTTGTCATCATGTTTCTCCCATTTCCCCCAGGAGATTCAGCCACTGTCCTCCTGAACTCACTACTGAGGGTGTTCCTGCCGATGAGGAAGGCTGCAAGGAGGCTGATGACGGTGCAGGTGACAGTGAGGATGATCGCAGTGGTGCCTGTGAGGGGAGAGACGGGGAGAGGCCCAATGGGATACTGATGCCTGTGTCCACCACTGATTGTGTTCCTGTGACATGCTGGAGACATATCTCTCTCTCATGCAACTGTGCCGGCGGGGAGAGAGAATGATCCCATTTACAGAGGTACAAGCCAAGGGTCAGGGGATTGAAAGATTTCCAGAAACACCCAACTACTGAGTAGGTAGAGCTGGGACTCCAACCCCACCCACTTCAGAGGACGTTGCATTGAACCTCAGTCTTCTGGCATCAGCAGAACACAGAGAAATACCCATGAGGACGCTCCCAGCCATCCACAGCTCCCTGGGAGCCTCATCCCATGTTGGGAGGGCATCCCAGGAGGCTCTCTTCTCTTACCTAGTGTTTTTCTTTTTCTCTTGGAAGACTCCGTCTCATCTAGAAAACAGAATTTATGTTGCAGGGCAGCTGTCACAATAGTATACCATTGATGTGTACTTTTTCAAGTCTATATTACTTACAGGCATTGTAAACATGTGAACACACGCGTGAAAATGACACCCATGTTAGGCGGAGGTTTCTACAGAAGGGAGCGAGATCATGGGAATGGTGTGGAGAGGAAAAGAGGACTTTATTTGTGGGAAGCAGTCTCTGCTTCTGGTTGCTGAAGCCCAGTGGCACCTATGCATTTCCCACAGTTCACCAGTTCACTACCCTGTGGTTTTTAACAGGTGTGATGTGGCCTCCCAGGGGACATCTGGCAATGTCTAGAGACATCTGTGGTTGTCACAAGTGGCAAGGGATACCTGTAGTGAATAGGGGGAGGGGTGCTGCTAAACATGCTTTGAAGCCCAGCATGCATTTCCCTCAAAGAATTATCCAGCTCAATGAACATGCCAATGTTCCCCCCCCCCCACTTTTTCTAGGCTACTTCCAAGTAGAGTTTTGTTGCTTGCAGTCAAGTGTCTTGACTAATCATGTCACTATCATAAAAACAGGTAGTGCCTGGCCAGTGTGGCTCAGTGATTGAGTGTTGACCTCTGCACCAAGAGGTCACTGGTTGGATTCCTGGTCAGGGCACATGCCCAGGTTGTGGGCCAAGTCCCCATTGGGGGGCATGCAGGAGGCGGCCAGTCGATGTTCTCTCTCGATGGTTCTATCTCCTACTGTATAACTCCAGGAGGTGTCATTCACACTTTAGTCTAAATGAATGGGGTGTCTTACCAGACAGTGACTTTGTGGCTATATCTTGTTTTCCTGGTGGGTTTGGGTATTATTAACCAGTCCCCTCAGCCACCTTTCTTGTGATTCTCCACCACTCACCTCTGTAAGCAGAAGACCCCGTCTACTCTCCACAGGATCCTGGCCCTAACTTCCTTTTTCCCAGGTGATTCCCGCCCCCCAAGTTCTAGAGTTTTATATGGACAGAACCTCCCTCTGATGCACTCCAGGTGGCAGAATGTCAGCTGGCAGGTAATCTAGCTAGCATCCTCCGGAAGGTACAAACCTTACCTGTCACCCAGATCGCCAGCGGATCACTAGGCTCTGAGGCCCAGAAAGGAGCCCTTGTTTGGTAGTACACACAGCTGTAGTCCCCAGTATCACAGACTGTCACATTGTGGAGGTAGAAGTCTGTCTTCTGTCCTTCTAGACTCTGGATCTTTATGGGTGTTGAAGTTCCTTTCTTCAGTAGAGCAAACACGTTAGACTCAATCCCATGGCGAGGCTGCTGGCACTGCAGAATCACGTTTTGTCCTGCGGTCACATTACCCCTTTGGTGGGCTTGGAGGGAAGGTTTAGGTAAATATCCTGTAAAAGAAGGAAGGCTCAGAAGTCATGGGGAGAAGACACGGGTCCCCCCTCCGCCTTGTCTTGGCAGGGTTCTCAGGAACTGTGGGAAGTGACAGACACCTGATCTCACCCTCTTTCTGCTCTGACTCCAGGAAGGAGATTTCCCTCCTACACGCCCTGGATGAAGTCAGCGTCCTTGACTCTGTCCCTGTCTTTCCTCATCTCCTCCCGTTTACAGTGGAGATGAGACCCCTGCTCAACTCTCCTTCTCTGGATCCTCCCTCATCCCTGTCCTCACCTGTCACCAGGAGTAGAAGGACATCACTCGGCGGTGACCTTACATTGGGTCTCTTTCTTCTGTAATAGTCACAGGTGTACTCTCCAGAGTGACTGTTCTGTAGATCAGTGAGGTGAAATTCCGCCAGGCCCTTTGGGGACTCAGGAGATAGAGAGGACGCCACGGTAATTCTTCCCCTTCTGAGAACGAAGTTGACCCCCCTGGTGGGAGTGGAGCATCGCAGCGTCACATTACCGTGGGTGGGAACCACCGAGCTGGGCCAGGCGTGGATGGAGGGCCTGGGGAGGGGCTCTGAAAGGAAGCAGAGTCCAGGGCTGGATTTGATTCACTCACCTGCTCTTTCCAGAAAGAGAACAGGATAAGGGCGATTTGTAGTGAGGGAGAAGGAAGGTTTCACTTTATTTCAATTTAATTTTAAAATGGAATTTTAGAGAAAGGAGGAAAGAGGAAGAGAAAGAGAGACACTTCGATGCAAGAGCAAAACATTGATCAGCTGCCTCTGCATGCCCCCCAGCACAGGTGGAGTTGGAATACCAGGCATGTGCCCCGACTGGAAATCAAACTGGCAACCTCCAGGTAAAGGGTAGAATACCCAACCGACTGAGCCGCACCAGCCAGGGCAGAAGCTTTTGCTTTAGAAACACTCACCATCTCTTATGTATCCTTGGCCAGCACACAGCCCTGCAAAAGAAGCGTCCATCAGACACGAGCTCCTGCCTGGAGCCCAAGTCGTCACCCTGCCCTGTCCCTGAGGGACCACCCAGGGCTTTTGCTGAGAACGGACCTCTCTCAACATATTCCCCAGCAGTCCCAGCCCCCTCAAGAGAACCCAATCGGCATCGTCTGTTTGCAGCTTCTGTTAGTTTTCTAGGACTGCGCTAACAAATGACCACAGCTCCTGGCTAGTTACAATATAGATGCATTGTCATGCAACTTGGGAGGTGAGGGGAACCCCACATCAGGGGTCTCACTGGCTAAAATCAAGATGTGGGTGGGATTGCATGCCTTGTGGGGCCCCTAGGGGAGAATCCATCCCCTGCCTTTTCCAGCTTCTAGAGCCCTCACACTCCTTGGCTTGTGGCCTCATCCTCCATCTTTACACCCAGCAACGGTTGGTCGAGTCCAACTTCCTCTTCTGCCCCCTCTACCATTAAGGACCACTGTGATTACAGTGGGACCAACCAGATAACTTAGGATCATCGCTCTATTTTTTTTTTCTTTTTTAAAGATAAGTTATTCATCTCAGAGAGAGGAAGGGAGAGAGAGAGATCGATGAGAGAGGATGAGAGAAACATTGATTGGCTGCCTTCTGCAGGCCCCCAGCTGGGGACCCAGCCAGCAACCCGAGCATGTGCCCTGACCAGGAATCAAACCCGTGACCTGCCCTGGCCAGTTTGGCTCAGCGGTTAGAGCATCGGCCTGCGGTCCTGAGAGACCCGGGTTTGGTTCCCACTAAGGGCACGTACTTTGGTTGCAGTTTGTCCCTGGCCCTGGTTGGTCGTGCGGGTGGCAGCCACTCGATGTGTCCCTTCGCGTCGATGTTTCTCTCTCTCCCTTCCTCTCTCTCCCTCCCACTCTATCTGTACAAAAAATGGAAAAAATATCCTCGGGTGAGGAAAAAAAAAAACAACAAAAAAAAACCCATGACCTACTGGTGTACTGGATGATGCAACCAGTTGAGCCACACCAGCTGGGCTCATCTCTCTATTTGAAGGACAACTGATGAGCAACCTTGGGTCCATCTGCCACCTTAATTGTCCTTTGCCACATAAAGAGACATATTCACGGCTTCCAGGAATCCGGACGTGGACCTCGTCGGGGCGCCTACAACACCGTGTCCTCACCTCTCTCAGTCGTCCCACTTCTGCATTCCTGGTTTCTCCCCTTTCACTGTGCCCCAGGACATTGGGTGGCCTAGCATTTTCCTCCAGAACTTACCCGTTGCTCCCCATCACCCACCCTTTTTGTCACTGAATTAATTGGGGTGACATTGGTTAGATGCACAATTCTACATCATCTGTATATTGTATGTTCACCACCCGAGTCAAGTCTCCTTTCATCACTATTTATCCCCCCTTTATCCTCTCCGCCTCCCCCATTCCCCTTCCCTAGGGCCCCATCATCCATCCTTTACCCATCTTATTCTTCTGCTATGTCCTGTAATGGTGTCTTTAGACTCATGGTTGAGGAGAAGACAAGGGACACTAGACCATTCCTGAACATCTCTGTTGCCCTCAGTGGTCACCCAGGTGTCTCCTGAGGAGTCAACATTGTAGAGGGTGTAGGACCCATCCCTCTCCCTGGTGCCATGGCTTCTAGACTATGAGACATCAGTGGTGACAAAGCCATTTTTCTGGGAAAAAACACCTCAATTTTAATGCCACCTATTACTCATACTCTTGGCAGAGTTCCTAGGCCAGATAGAGTCACTAGGACTTAAGGCCCTTGAAGGCAGAGAATACATTCTTTAGTGCCTAGATTTCATCAGGCCTTATGAACAGGGAGAGTTGTTTACAGAGATTTTTGGCAATATAGAACAAGCATTGATCTCCCAAAACCCCCTCTCAGCACACCTCCATACCCAGCCACATCCACGGAGAGTGGGAGACCCCAGTCCTATGACAAGGGCATATAGCCCTGAAAGCCTTGTCCTTTGCCCTCAGGTATTTCTCCCTGCTCTCAGAGAATGGCCTAAATGGGTCTCTGACCCTGCAATTGGCCTGGAGCTTTCTCCTTTGTGCTCCAGAATCAATCTCAAAAAATCCAAAGTTGATATGACTTGGAAGGGTGAAGCATGTGTCCCCACCTTCCCCATCTGGCAGCCTTTCTTACACCTGTAGATCAAACTGACCCCAAGAAATGTGCTTCTAGACGTGGTTATAGGTGGTGTAGTTTGATTCGCCTATAACCATGATTCTCCACAGGGGACCTTGGGCACTATCTGGATACTTGGCTTAAGAACTTGCAAACGCACAACGTGGTACTGTTAACTGTCGTCACCATGCGGCATGTTAGGTCCCCGGAGCTCGCTCATCTCGTAGCTGGAAGTCTATGCCCTTTGACCCGCATCTCCCATTTCTCCCTACTCCCCCAGTGCCTGGGACCACCATTCCTCTCTCTGTTTCCATGAGTTCAACATTTTTAGATTCCACGCATGAATGAGAACATGCAGGATTTGTTTTCTCTGACTTCTCTCACTTAGCAGACGCATTCAAAGCCCATCCACGTTGTTACAAATGGCAAGATTTCCTTCTTTCCCATGGCTGAACAGTTTGCATTACCTGTTTGCCTACATGCAGGCAGGCAGGTAGGTAGGTATGTAGATTGACCACCACCTTGAGCCACGCATTCATGGCCGAGCACTTAGGTTGTTTTCATTGTTGTAAATAATTCTGTAATGAACGTAGGGTGCAGCTATCTCTTTGAGATGGTGTTTTCATTTCCTTCACATACGTACCCAGAAGTGAAATTACTGGGTTATGTGGTAACTTTATTTTTAATTTTCAGAGAAACTTCCATAGTGGCTGCGCCCATTTAGATCCCCTCCAACATTTCCCTGTTTTCCACATCTTGTCCAACACCTGTTATCTCGTCTTCTTGATAGTGGCCATTCTCACGGGTGGTGAATGGCTGTGACAGAGGTCAGGTCACCCACAGAGTCTGTCTCACTATCAGGCCCTCTATGTTAAAAGGTTGCCAATACCAGCCTGGCCAGTGTGGCTCTGTTGGTTGGGCGTTGTCCTGTGCACCTAATGGTCACCGGTTCACTGTTGATGTTTCTCTCTCATTGGTATTTCTCTCCCTCTCCCTTCCTCTCCCTCTAAAAAAAAAAAAAAAATTCAATAAAAACATTTTTTTTTTTTTTTTTTAATCCTCACCCAAGGACATTTCTGCATTTTTTGTTCAGACAGAGCGGGAGGGAGAGAGAGGAAGAGAGAGAGAGAGAAACATCGACGTGAAGGGACACATCGAGTGGTTGCCACCCGCACGACCAACCAGGGCCGGGGACAAACTGCAACCGAGGTACGTGCCCTTAGCGGGAACCGAACACGGGTCTCTCTGTACCGCAGGCCAATGCTCTAACCGCTGAACCAAACCAGCCAGGGCAAAACATTTTTTTTTTAAAGAAACAGATCAGTTGTCTCCTATATGCACACTGACCAGGAATCGAACCCACAACCTTTCTGGTGTATGCTCCAACCCACTGAGCAAACTTGGCTGGGGCCTGTCTCTGTCTTGATCACAGAAGAATACGACAGTTGGGTTGTAGTTTCCAAAACATTTCTTATTTTATCATATTTATTTATTTTACAGAGAGAGAGAGAGACATCAATGTGTTGTTCCACTTATTTATTATGCATTCACTGGTTGATTCGTGTATGTTCCCTGACTGGGGATTGAACCCACAACCTTGACATATCAGGAGGTCGCTCTAATCAAGGGAACTACTGGGCCAGGGCTCCAACCTATTTCTTGTATCCACTTATATCTCTTAGGAAAAAGACTGGGGTGGGGGAGGAAATGTGACCCAGTGCCTACCGGTGGGCAGCAGTACCTATTAGAACTGAATCGCATTGTTCCCCCACTGACTATATACTGGTGACTCTATGCTATTTTTGATGAGGGATACTGATTTTCCATTAATAGAAGTGTCCTACGAACCTTTTTATTATTTTATTATCATTATTATTATTCTTTTATCCTCACCTGAGGACATTTCTTTTACATTTATCTTCAGATAGAGCAGGAGGGAGAGAGGGAGGAAGAGAGAGAGAAACATCAATGTGAGAGAGACACATCGAGTGGTTGCCACCCACACGACCCCAACTGGGGCCGGGGACAAACTGCAACCGAGGTACGTGTCCTTAGCGGGAACTGAACCTGGGACTCTCTGGTCCGCGGGCTGACGCTCTAACCGCTGAGCCAAACCATCCAGAGCTACAAATCTTTTAAAAATAGCTTTGAGTATAAATATAATAATATATGCCATGACCAGTTGCTCAGTAGGTTAGAGTATCATCCCGATATGCCAAGGTTGCAGGTTCGATTCCCAGCCAGGGCACATACAACCAATGGATGTATAAATAATTGGAACAGCAAACTGATGTTTCTCTCTCCCTTTCCCTCTCTCCTCCACCCCTACGCTTCCTCTTTCTCTCCAATCAATCAGTAAAAATTGAAAACAATAATATAAAAACCCAAAACAATCTGATGAAGAATATCAATTAGAAAAGTATACAGACATGTGACATACATCTGGAAACATGTCCCTAGGAGGTTCAGGGCTGAGTGAATTTGAGAATCAGATAGACAGAGGACAATGTGTGTAATGCACCCCACGCATTCCTTATACGTACTACCTATTCAGAAAATGAAAGCTTCTATTCCTCCTTTTCCATCCGACCCCATTACCTACCCCCAAGTCACCCCAACTCCAACTGCCTCCACCACCCTCAGTGACCCTCCTCTTCCCTCCCCCATACTTACCCACGCAGAACAGGGCCAGGAATGGGAGGATCATGGTGGGCCCCCTTAAGCGTCTTTCAAGGAACTTCCTTGAATTTTGCTGTTTGTGGTAGGTAAGTCAAAATGTTTCCTTTACTCCCAGATCTGCGAAGACAGCTTTGCTCTGTTCATTCCTTTGCTCCTATATGCACACGGTTTCTGTCTCCCAGTAACAATCAGGAAATGCTGACTATTTATTGCATCACACTCTCAACCACTTCCCACAGGCTTGACTTTCAGATCCTTAGACAGCACAGAGTTCGAAGCGCCTGAAGCTAAGTCTCGTTCATAAATATGTACAGTATGTGAAGAATTGCTCATTGAGTTTCATAAACATTGTCCCCTTCTTCACAGTGGCAGAATTCAGCTGGACCAATGGCAACCGGAATAACGACATGTCTCTCTCTCAGAGTTGGTCTCTCTGGTCAACAGGATGTGCATGGAAGTGACGTGTGCAAGTTTTGGGTTATGCCCTCCTGGGATGGAGGGCTGGCACTGGGCCAGAGCTGATAACAAAGAGATGAGACGTGGTAGGAGCTTGGGGGAGGGTGGAAGGATCTGCAGGAATGAGTCAAGAGACTGTAAAGAAAGGCTAAGAAAAAAGAATCCTTGTGGGCAGCATGGCAGAAAAGCAATTTGAAGAGAACAGATGTTGCCCTGGCCAGGTAGTTCAGTTGGTTAGAGTGTCATCCGGATCTGCCAAGGTTGCTGGTTCGATCCCCGGTCAGGGCACATACAAGAATCAGCCAATGCCCTGCTGGTGTGGCTTGCTGATGGGGCGCCATCCCGTGCATAAGTAGGTCACTGGTTTGATTCCTGGTCAAGGCACAAGCCTGGGTTACAGGCTCTATGCCCAGTAGGGGGCGTGCAGGAGGCAGTCATTCTGTGTTTCTGTCTCTCCCTCTCCCTTCCTTTCTCTGAAATCAATAAAAACAATTTTAAAAAAGAATCAACCAATGAATGCATAAATAAGTGGAATAACAAATTGATCCCCCCCCTCAAAAAAATCAGTAAATAACATTTTTTTTTTTTTAAGAAGAAAACGTCTGTGATGAAGCTTTCCGTTGTCTGCTGTGGGGCCACAATGTAAACTGTTCTCCAATATCTTCTATGAAGTATTCAACAAGATCAACCTGTTGGTTAGATCTTTGGTGGAAAGAATCCAGGAGAAGTTGGTGGAGCCATGTTCCACATCTGGCTGAGGTTCTATAAGAATGTAGAGATGCCCCGGCTGGCTTGTACAGTGGTTAGAGCGTCGGCCCGAGGACCAAAGAGTCTCGGGTTTGATTCTGGTCAAGGGCACGTACTTTGGTTTCAGTTGGGTCCCCGGCCCCGGTTCAGGCTCATGCTGGAGGAAACCAATCAATGTTTCTGTCTCACATCGACGTTTCTCTCTCTCTCACCCTCTCTCTCTCTCTCCCCCCTTCCCCTCCCTCCCTCCCTCCTACTCTATCTGAAGATAAATGAAAATATATCCTAGGGTGAGGATTTAAAAAAAAACAATGTAAATGCAACTGAGACGGTGGATCCAGATGATAGAGGAGAACTGACCTCCAAATGGAAAATCTAGGAGGTTGTAATATAGTATTTTAAATGTTTTTATTTTTATATTCTATTATTTTTTAATCCTCACCTGAGGATATTTTTCTATTTATCTTCAGATAGAGTGGGAGAGAGAGAGAGACATCGACATGATCAAGACACATCGACTGGTTGCCTCCCACATGACCCTGACCAGGGCCGGGGAAGAACCGCAACCGAGGTACGTGCCCTTGGCCGGAACTGAACCCGCAACTCATTGGTCTGCAGGCCGAAGCTCTAACCGCTGAGCCAAATCGGCCAGGGCTGTAATACAGTATTTTAAAGGACCATTCTCTGGTGCATCTACCGGAGGGGAGGCTGAAAGGCCTGCTTTGTCCATCTGTGGACTGCTGGGGACCTCGTGACCGGCAAGCAGCTCCCTAGCAACATCTGCCAGGAGTGGACATGAACACTCGGCCCCTGTGACCTTTGGGGGATAACTGGGAAGGGTGTGTTCCGGACCAGCCTCTGAAGCTTAATCAGCACCAAGTACCACAGTATGAAGCACCGGAGTGCTAAGGACGAGCACTACCGAGCTCTACAGGAGAAACCCCCGGCAGGACGAGCAGTATCCGCCTCCACCCGCGTTGACGCTCCGTTTTTCCACAGCAGAATCTGGTCTCAGAACTTCTGTGTTCCCAGTGAAATGTCATCCAAACAACAACCTGAACTTGAGTCCTTGTCTTGGGGACTGCTTCTGGGGTACCCAGACTAAGACCCTAAAAGTGCCTGAGAAACGGACCCCAGGCCCCGTTCTTCAGCATCAGGTTCAGAAATGGACTTACACCAGCCGAGGGATGCGTTTTGGGGGAGGGAAGTCTATGAGGACCGTGCTGACACCTGTGTATAGTAGTAGTTATGGAGGTAATAGTTCAGTTGTATTGACTGTTTGCTCTAGTGAGCTCATCTATTCCGTCCCAGAGTCTCTAAGTACACAGCTATGTTTACCAGACACGAATCTTTTTAAAAACGTGTAACAGCAGTATCACACCAGGAAAACTGCACTTCCTTGATACCATCTATTATCTAGTCAGTGTTCAAATTTCCCCAATGATCTCGGAAATGTCCTATCATTTTTTTAAGCCCTGGCCGGTTTGGCTCAGAGATTAGAGCGTCGGCCTGCGGGCCAGAGAGACCTAGGTTCGGTTCCCGCTAAGGGCACGAAACTTGGTTGTAGTTTGTCCCCGGCCCTGGTTGGGGTCATGTGGGTGGCGACTACTCGATGTGTCTCTCTCACATTGATGTTTCTCTCTCTCTCTCTTCCTCCTACTCTCCTTCCTGCTCTATTGGAAGATAAGTGCAAAAATGTCCTCAGGTGAGGATAAAACAAAACAACAACAAAAAAACAGAATCCAAATCCTCAAAATAAACTTCTATAAAGTGCATTTGATTGATATGCTAATTTAAATAAGGCAAAGTCTCAATCTGTCTGCTAAAGTAAGAGTGCAAGGGAGTCATAGGTTTTTTTTATTATTCTTTATTATTATTCAATAGAATAAGAGCCACATGCTCCTGAAGCTATGTTCTCTGGACAGGGCTCACTTGCCTTACTGTTTAGAAATACAGAAAAGGCAACAAAGCCAAAACTTATCTAAAGGAAAACCCATTATAATTAAAGGTATTATTTTGAAGGTTATTGTCAAAGGATGTGGTAATGATTTTTAAAGTCTTGAGATTTTTTTTTTCTAAATTTATTTTTTCCTTTATTGATTTTAGAGAGGAAGTGTGAGGGAGAGAGAGATAGAAACGTCGATGAGAGAACATCGCCCGGCCGCCTCCTGCACGCCCCCCACTGGGAATCAGGCCCACAACCTGGGCATGTGCCCTGACTGGGAATCAAACCGGCGCTGAGCCACACGGGCCGGACAAGTCTTGAGACTCTTATAGGACCATTTTGTCCACCTAACACTTCCATGTGTAGACTTATTTCAACACAAAACAATTTAGTAAGAGCCATGAATATTCATGTAGTTGTCCATGTTGCACCAGCAAACAAGACCGATATGCTTGGAAATGCTTTCAAGTCAACACTTGATCTAACCAGGTTCCTTACACTGGTTTTCTGACTCAGATGTTCCTCATCCCTGTAGGGTTTTTGAATGGCCAGGTATTGGCCTTGGTGATGAACCCAGTCTCCATGCCCTCTCTCCTCTCCCCTCCCCTGAGCTTGGGGCAGGTGCTGAAAGCTCCAAGTTTCTATTGAAGACTTGGTCTTTCTAACGACCCCCCATCCTCAAGCTACCCAGGGGCCCCCAAGAGTGGCCTCGTTAGAACAAAAGATGTGTCTATCACGCTATCACAAAATCTGTGTAAGGAACCGGGTCTCTGATGCCACAAGGGCCCAGTTAGTCTGTAGCTCAGCATTTTAATATCCTTCTGCTGCAATCCCAGGGGAACAGGGCAGAAAGCCTCGCTCTTCAGAACCCAAGAAGCAGTGAGAAGCTGTCTCATGCCAGCTCTCCAGGGGTGAGAAGGGGTGTGGGTGGTAACCCCACAGCAGTCCCTCGTGAGCCTCCCACCTTCCCATGTCTCAGGAGCATCATGGAACACCTGCCAAGGCCCAGGGTGGTGGCAAGTCCAAGCCTCTGACTTTATGGATACGTGACAGGTTTCCGGGAAGCCACCCCGAGCTGCTCCCTTACAATGGTATGAACTTTCCATAGTTGTTCAAAATAAGCAATGGATACAAGATGTCCGGGAGGGTGCAGTTATGGGCTGAAGGTCTGTCCCCAACCCTCATTTCATATGTGGAAGCCCCGTAACCCCCAACGTGTTGGTATAGGGAGCTGGGGCCTTTGGCAGTGGTTAGGCTTGAATGAGGTCAGGCACGTGGGTTAGGAGGAATCCCGTGATGGGATTGCTGACTATCAGAACAGAGGACAAAGATCTCTCTGGCTCTCCCTCCCTCCATCACCCTAGCCACGTGACGATACGACAGAATGCAGCAGTCTGCAAGCCAGGGTCCGCACCGGAACCAGGATCTCAGGCATCCCGGCCTCCACAACTGTGAGGAGGAAGCTTCTGGTTCCAACCACCCAATGTGCAGGGTTTTGTCGCGAAAGCCCACGTTGAGCTAGACAGACGCACAAACAGGTGGTCATGTGGCTGGGCTTCTGGCCGGGAGCTGCGTGCCTGGAGCCAGGAGGGACAGGGAGACTGGAGTAGAGACACGTGGCAGAGGCCTGGAGGGCGGCCCTACTATGTGGCTGCAGTTCCTTCAGGATTTCCGCGCCGAGCGGGGAAACCCACGCGCCCAACAGGTGGCAGTAGCATACCACGAGTTTTATTGGTGTTGACAGGTTTGCTGTGGGGAAGTTCCTGGCTGCTTGAAATCTTTCCAAGGCAAAGGTGGGGTAGGGGGAGGAACACTACCCAGAAGGCGAGGAGGACAAGAAAACAAGGGGAGAAGGGTGTCGGAGAGGGGACTCGTGTGCCTAGGCAATGTCGCTGTCGTGTGCTGTCTTTCACAGGCACAGGGTTTAGCTAGGGCTGGCAGCCAGGGTGCAACTCCACGGGGTGTGACAAGCAGGCAAGCTCGACCTCACTTGAAAATCTTCACATATGGAACCCTGTCGGGTGGCTCAGTTTGTTGGAGCGTCGTCTGGTGCACCAAAAGGTTGCAGGTTCGATTCCTGCTCAGAGTACATATCTAGGTTGCAGGTTCGATCCATGGTCAGTGTACATGAGGCAACCAGTTGATGTTTCTCTCTCAAATTGATGCTTCTCTCTCTCTAATAAAAACTTATCCTTGGGTGAGGATTTTTTTTTAATTTGCTTATTTGGGCTTCGTTTAAAATAATTGTATATATAAGCATTTGAGTTTGGTGCCTGTTGGGCTTTGGGGCT